ATTAAACACTAGAAAACTGGAAGTGGTACTGTGGCTCAAAGTTGTAGATTGCTAGCTATGAGCAAAAAAGCTCAGGAATAATGCTTAGTTCCTGAGTTCGAGACTCTTATCCAATTAAACACCAGAAAACTGGAAGTGGTACTGTAGCTAAAAGTTGAAGATTGCTAGCTATGAGTGAAAAAGCTCAGGAACAATGCTTAGTCCCTGATTTCAAGCCCCATGACCAACAAAAAGAAATAGTACAAGGCCCCAAGTTCAGCCCCAGTACTGGTACGCGTGTACACGCACACACACACACACCATATCATACACTTTTCCTTGAAGATAGAGGTTTCATTATTTATAGCCCAAAACCCTCAATCCCAGACTCTAGGATGCTGGGGTTAAGGACATGCTGTACCACACCAAGCAAACTATACACTTTTTTTGGGGGGGGGGTCCAGTCATGGGGCCTGAACTCTGGGCCTGGGCGCTGTCCTTCAGCTCTTCAGCTCAAGGCTAGTGCTCTACCACTTGAGCCACAGCGCCACTTCCGGCTTTTTCCTTTTTGCTTATGTGGTGCTGAGGAATCGAACCCAGGGCCTCAGGCATGCAAGGCAAGCGCGCTACCACTGAGCCACCTTCCCAGCCCCAAACTGTACACTTTTTAAAGTCACTTCTTCAACCCATTCTCTTAAGGGTAGTTACCTGTTCATTTAGGAAAAAGGAAATCCTATACCCAAAATATACAAGCCATTATGGAGCTCAGGACTGAAAAGAACTGCTGGGACTAAATCAGTCCCCAAAATTTTATTACCAACTTTTGTTTTGTTTTGTTTTTTTTGCCAGTACTGGGGCCTGAGCACTGTCCCTGAGGTTCTTTTTGCTCAAGGCTATCACTCTACCACTTGAGCCACAGTGCCACTTCTGGCTTTTTTTCATTTATGTGGTGCTGAGGAATCAAACCCAGGGCTTAGTGCATGCTAGCCAAGCACTCTACCACTGAGCCACATTCCCAGCCCTTATGATGAACTTCTAACATACAGCAGAATAGAAACAATTTTACAGTGAACGTTCAATTACTGACCAGTGAGAATCTACCTTTCATAAAACATATCCACCCATTTATTCAAACCAACCATTTTTATGAACTGCTGGAATTTTTATTTTTCACTTCTAATTTTAGGGACAGGGTTATTCAGGCTGGCCTCAAACTCAGTTTGGCAAGTAGCTGGGACTACAGCACCTGCCAGTGTCTGGCCAGTGTTGGCATTTGAAATACATACTTGGGGTTGATGCCCGTAGCTCATGCCTGTAACTCAAGCTACACAGGTAACTGAGATCTGAGGATCATGAAGCCAGTCGAGGCAGAAAACTCCTAAGATCCTATCTCTAATTAAGCATCCAAAAATAAAAGCTGGAAGTGGAGCTATGAGACATTGTAGAGCACTAGCCCTGAGCAAAAAAGCCCAAGCCCTGAGTTCAAGCCCCAGTACCAGCACAACCCAAAAAACATACATACATATATGTGTGCATGTGTATATATATGTATATATGTGTGTGCAGGTGTGTATATATATATGTGTATATATGTATATATTGGAATTGCTTCTCAAAAAAAGTTTTTTTCGTCGGTCATGGGGCTTGAACTCTGGGCCTGGATGCTGTCCCTCAGCTCTTCAGTTCAAGGCAAGCGCTCTACCACTTGAGCTACAGCACCACTTCCGGTTTTCTGGTGGTTTATTGGAGATAGCAGTCTCACAGTCTTTCCTGCCCGGGCTGGCTTTGAACTGTGATCCTCAGATCTCAGCCTCCTGAGTAGCTAGGATTACAGGCATGAGCCACCAGCGCCCGGCAACTAAATTATTTTCTTTTCTTTTGGGGGGGGTCCAGTTGTGGGGCCTGAACTCTGGGCCTGGGCGCTGTCCCTCAGCTCTTCAGCTCAAGACTAGCGCTCTACCACTTGAGCCACAGTGCCACTTCCGGTTTCTTTTTGCTTATGTGATGCTGAGGAATGGAACCCAGGGCCTGAGGCATGCAAGGCAAGCACTCTATCACCGAGCCACCTTACAGGCTTCTCAAAAACTTTTGACTATCAGAAATATACGAACAAAGTCTTGAAACCACAAACTATACTCAGTGTTCATCTCTCCTGCCCATCTCCAATCAAAATTTCTTCAGAACTCCAACAGCCATTTTAAGACCACACCATTGTCCACTATCTACGGCATTATCCTTAGGCCTCTTCCTGGCTCAGCATTGATCTGTGAAGCCTCTCCCAAACTTCACTCACTCACTCAGAACTTACCATGTCTCTCAGAGGGGCCACATTTCATCACTTGCAATTAGTGTGCAGGATCTATAATTCTACTTTTCAGTGTGTCTCTTTCACTAAAGCCTAACCTCTGTGAGGGCAGGAATTCCCTTATTTACCTCTGAATCTTCAGTAAGCAGCCTTGCCCTTACAGCAAGTACTCAGTAGGAATAACATAAATGAAAGAAGCAAACCAAGGAAAAGCTGAGTATGGAAATGGCCTAATCACAGTGGCACTTTAGAAAGCTTCAACTTAGAGCAACTGTTGTTAAGAGCATGAGCTTTGAAGCCAGACTGCATGGGCACAAATCCCAGAATCCCAGCTCTGCCACTTATTGCTGGGTATCTTTGGGAAATTATTCTAAAGTTCCTGGGCCTGAGTTTCTCCATTTGGAAAACAAAGGTAACAGTGCTTCTTAGGTTATTGCGAGGAGCCAATGAGATGTTCAATTTTTTTTTTTGTCAGTTGTGGGGCTGTCTAGGTGGGTCTAGGTGCTGTCCCTCAGCTCTTCAGCTCAAGGCTAGCATTCTACCACTTGAGCCATAGTGCCACTCCCAGCTTTTTCTGCTTATATGGTGCTGAGGAATCGAACCCAGGGCCTTATGCAGGCAAGGCAAGCACTCTACCACTGAGCCACCTTCCCAGCCCCGAGGCATTCAATTTTTTAAAGCAGGCTAGCGTTTTGTAGTTCAGTGGTAGAATATTTGCCTTGTGTGCTTGTGGCCCTGGGTTCAACCCCCAGCACAATACACTTGCACACATGGGTGCATGTGCGTGCATACACGCACAGGCACACACATACAGAGTAAGCATTGCATCAGTGTTGTCACTACTGCCAACAATCAGGTTGCTGATAACAATGAGGTTAGAACAGGAAGATAAAAGCTGAGGGGGGGAGGTGACTGAAATATTAGAGCACTTGCTTAGCATGTGGGGAAAACCTTGAGTTGAAGTCTTCATACCAAGAAACAAACATATCTTTAAAGCCTGGGTAGAAACAATAAAAACAATGTGGAAAGAATGGCTGTGAATGAATCTACTTTGGAATGTCTAGGACAAGTGGGGTTGTTATACAGTACCCACTCTACTACCAAGTTCAGTCCTCAGCCTCATAACTGGATTTTCTTTTTGTTAGTTGTAGGGCTTGAGCTCTGGGCCTGGACACTGTCCCTCAGCTCTTCAGCTCAAGCTAGCACTCTACCACTTGAGCCATTCTGGTTCTCTGGTGGTTTATTGGAGCTACTTCTCGGACTTTCCTGCCCAGGCTTGCTTTGAACTGTGATCCTCAGATCTCAGCCTTCTGAGTAGCTAGGATTACAAGCGTGAGCCACCAGCGCCCGGCTCATAACTGGATTTTTAAGAAATTAAAACAACTGTGATGTGTCTCATCGAGGCAAAGATTTGATTTTGGCCACTTGCAGTCTAGCATTACTGGACTCTCACCACAAGCTCAGTAAGCACTGCAAGCTTCTCTTTGTAGCAAATCTTGTAATCTCTTAGCTGAGATTTCTTTCATTACTCCACCAGGCACCACTTCTCTAGCTGGTGAAGCCCACAATCCCCATCCAATGACTACATTCCCTAAGTTGGGGAATGGATTTGTAGTTTCATCCGATTCAACCCTGTACAATTTTTCTTGCTGCTACTTCTTCCTGCCCACCTCCTTACTCCTCATGCCTTGCTATTCCTTCCACGTAGGAACTTGAAACCTAAAAGCAACAGAGCAATAGAGTGGTGCCAAGAACTGGAGATGCTGCCAAGTTCTTCCCTGGGCCCCATATGCAGTGACCCAACTCCAGGCAGATTGGACTTAACAGCCCCCAGGCCCTCATACACTTGGTATTCCTTTTTGCTTCTGCTCATTTTCTTTCTCCCACTTAAAGCAACCTCATCCCAAACCCATAATCCATTCAAATCCAACCCATCCTTGAAGATCTAGGTGAGGCCCAACTTCTTCAGGAAGTCTCCCCCCACCATTTTATCCAGATTACCAACTCCTTCACACACATGTACACACACAAACAAGTACTGTACTTACCGTGTGCACCACAAAGCAAAGCACAGTCACAGTACACATTGATATAATTAAACAAATGTTCTGTGTGTATATGTTTGATTTTCTAAGGGAAGGGTGTCTCCCATGTCTTTCAAACCTTACAGTGGGTTAATACTTGTTGAACAGTGACTGAATCAGTGCTGCTTTTTTTCTTTTTCTCTTAAAAAATAATTTGTTAGGCTAAAGCAGGAGGAGACAGAATCGTGATTAAATGAAAAAGGTTGAATGGTTAGAAGCACTGGATTAAAACAGGAGAATATGTAGAAGAAAGGTGTCTAATTAACATGATGAGCAGATTTGTTGTGAGGTTGGAAAAGTTACAGGAGGATGTCAACAGGAAAAATGCAGGGACAAGGTATTGCAGTTTGAAAAAGGCCACAGGAGAAGGGTAAGGCTCAAAAGAAATTCTTACTAAATTGTGCTAAAACCTGGAGGTAGGCCAACTGGGTAAGTGAAAGGGGAAGGCTAGGGTGACAGGGATGGAGATGTGGTCAATGAGGTGAGTAAATTGATGAGGGGGGGGGCGGGTGGCATGGAAGGTAAAGGTGAACAAAACTAGCTTGAGCAATTAGGTTAGCGGAGTGGTTAGGAGTTAGGTGGGGAGGGAATAGGTGTGAAAAGTGTTATTTAAAATCCGGCCCCTCCCTCACCTTGACCCGGAAGCGGATGAGTGCTAGCCTCACGCAGTGGCTCAGGCAGGCAGGTGGCAGGAACCAGGCCCGCGGTGGAGGGGTGCCCTTGTTGCCCACGTGTCCCACGATCAGTTGCGCTGTCTGCCGCTCGGCCTGGCACCGACGGCCCCACTCGGCCAATCGGTCCTTGCCCAGGCCCCCCGGGAACATAACCACCAGCTCCAGGCCGTCGCCGCCGGGATAGGCACAAGCCTGGCACAGCGCTGACAAGTAGCCCAGCATGGCGTTCCATTGGCCGCCACACACCCAATCCGTCTGGTAGCCGCCATAGAGCCGCGGCAGCGCTGAGCCCGCGTCTACTAGCACCCGGGCCCCAGGCAGCGGCGGGGGCGGCGGGGGCAGCCCGGGCTGCGCCTGGCCGTGGTGATGGAAGTGGTGAGCAGGGTGATGGTGCCGAGCGGGCCCCGCGCCCCCGGCGTAGGCACCCAAGGCAGCAGGCGGGAACGGCGGTGGAAGAGGACCGGAGCCCCGGGTGGCGCGCGCAGCCCCGGGCGCTAAGGCTGCCGTCGGCGGCAGCTGGCGGTGCAGGTGCTGCTGCTGTTGCTGGCGTGAAACGGTGCGCGCGAGTTTGAGAAGATCCACGGGCACCACGGCCCCCGGACAGCGCTTCTCCAGGAACTCTTGGAAGCCCTGGACGCCCATGCTTGGTCAGTGGGCAGATGAGACAGCGGCTGCGCAAGCAGGCTGGCGAAGATCTGGGCGCGAAGCTGGGGGCGAGCGCGTGCGCACTCCGTGGGGGGTGAGGGGGCGGGGACAGGATTCCCGACGGGAGGGATGCGGGGACTGGGAAGCGGAGGGAAAGAGACCACAGATTGGATAAGGATGGAGAGGAGGGGTGAGGCTGACCAGACCCTGAAGAGGCTGGGAGGACAAAAGCGCTGTCAAGCCTGTCGTCACGTCTCTCTTTTTTGTCCTCTTCCACTGCTCGTCACCGTTTCAAAGGTGGTGAAGCTTCTTCCTTCCACCTCCGGGAGCCATGTTGCCTCGTCTTCTCTATGATAAACGCTTTCTAGCTGGAAAAGGGGGGCGGGGCGGAACCGATCGGCATCCTGGGAGTTGTAGTCATCTCGTGTGTGGCCTCGTGATACAGCCAGCGAATGAGAACACCACCCTTGAGGCTTACCGGGTTACCAGAGGTGGGGGACAAAGATGTATGTTTAGAATTTTCAGGCAACTCTTTGCAGACCACTGTTTTGCCTCAGGCACTTTACTGCTATTCCTAGGAAAACGAGGTGTTGGAGGAAAGAGCGATGCTTTACGGGAAAGGAAATAGCGCGAATTGATTGCATTTGGCTAAAGTAAGCTAAACTTCTCTGGGAAGGAGAAATTTCCCTTCCATAGATCAAATAATCTGCATAGTTTGCAATGAAGAAGGAAAAAAAGCATGAAGCATAAAAATAACCACTACCACTTCTATACCAACCCACGTCTGGCTCCTGAAATTCTTTGAAGAGTAGTAGCTCAGTTAGGTTGTATAGCCTTTGCTCTGCAGGTCTCTTTGGTCAGGGAGATCACTGCCAACGCATACTAGATACTCTATCTTTGGAACCCTATACTTAGGGTCTTTGTTTCCAAACTGTGAATCAGTCTGTGTAGGAGCTCTTCAACATGTAGAAGCTCTTCAAAATAGTTGCAAGCGTTCTAATTTCATCGTAATCTTTAAAAATAAACCAAAACTATTTTCAACGCGCTTCTCTGTTGAAACCCCCTGTAAACCCTGTCATCATTGAATACAGAGCAGAAAACAAGATTTGAACGTGTACTCACATCTTTCTTGGAATGTACTGGAAGGTGCTAGATTATGGCAAACCACAAAAATCCAGAACCCAAGAGAGATCTAAAGGAATCTAAGAATTATCTAAGAACGTCTATTGGGATGTAAAAGCAAAAAGGCCCCAAACTACCAAAGAATTCACTGTAAAGCACTCATTGAACAAAGCAAAATGACAAGGAATAAGAAGATAATGAAGTAGTGTGTGTAGGTTACTCATGAAAACAAGCCAAGTGAAAGGAGAGAGAGCAGTGTCTTGAAAAGGAATAAAGATGGAGAAGGGCTGGGAATGTGGCTTAGTGGTAGTGTTTGCCTAGCATGCATGAAGCCCTGGGTTCCATTCCTCAGTACCACATAAACAGAAAAAGCCAGAAGTGGCATTGTGACTCAAGTGGTAGAGTGCTAGCCTTGAGCATAGAAGCTCAGGGACAGTGCCCAGGTCCAGAGTTCAAGCCCCAAATCAATACCAAAAAACTTTTCTTTATCCCATGAGGTTTTTTTTTTGGGGGGGGGTCCAGTCGTGGGGCTTGAACTCGGCCTGGGTGCTGTCCCTCAGCTCTTTAGCTCAAGGCTAGTGCTCTACCACTTGAGCCACAGTGCCACTGCTGGCTTTTTTCTTTTTGCTTATGAGGTGCTGAGGAATCGAACCCAGGGCCTCAGGCATGCAAGGCAAGCGCTCTACCACTGAGCCACCTTCCCAGCCCCTCCCATGATTTTTTTTTTTACACCTGAAATTTATTTCCCTGACTCCTATTCAGGTGGAATGGATGTTTCCTTACAACTGGTAATTGATTAATTAGTGTAATGTCTTCTTTTCTAAAAAGGAAATTTGGTTGTTTTTAATTATTTCATAGTAGATCTAATATTCTTATTGGTTACACTCAGGGACTCCTACTTGCTAGGCAAGCACTCGGTCATGTGAGCCACATCCCCCCCACTTTTTTTTTGGTCAGTCATGGGGCTTGAACTCTGGGCCTGGGCTCTGTCCCTCAGCTCTACAGCTCAAGGCTAGCGCTCTACCACTTAAGCCAAGCACCACTTACAGTTTTCTAGTTGTTTATTGGAGGTAAGAGTCTCTCTCACAGACTTTCTTGGCCCATCTGGCTTTGACCTGTGATCCTCAGACCTGAGCCTCCTGAGTAGCTAGGATTACAGGCGTGAGCCTGGCACTTGGCTTCCCCACTTCGTTTATTTTGAGTTTAAGGTCCTGTACTTTTCCCCAGGCTAGTCTCTGACGCAGCTTCTCCTACCTCCCAAGTAGCTGGGATTACAGACATGTGCCGTGGGTCCTGGGGCATATTAGATATAGTGGTGGCAATTATGTTTAATTATAGGCTATAAGATCTAAAGGAGCCATATTGAACTAGAAGAGGATGGGAGGTGTTCAGGAATGCCACTATTTCTGGATGCAGCAGTTGAATACATTTTGCAGTTGTCCATGGATTATGTTAGGGCTGGACATTTTTGCAATTGTACATAGCAGGCAAATGACAAATGTGTTTGTAGGACAGCCAAAAGAAGGACTGTGGGTACCCTTTGTCTTGTGTGTAAGTTTAGCTGATTTGGGGAGGGTAGGGGAAAGCACAGAAATAAATGGTGGGACAAAGGTGAAGTAATTCAGCAGTGATACTAGACACTATGTTGAAACCGAACTATACAACTTGTGGGGGAGGAGGGTCAGGAGGGATAAACTGGGAGAAAAGGAGGGAAGAGGTGACACAGTTCAAAAAGTACTGTAGTCATTACCTGACCTATGTAACTGTAACCTGTCTTTACACCACTTTTACAATAAATTTTTTTTTGGAAGAACCTTAATCTTATCCTTATGATTACACAGGTTCCATCATTACTGTACCTTCCAGAGACTTTGTTATTGAGCTGGAGGAGGAAATATGTAAGTTCTGGTTGGAAAGATTGAGTGGAATATATTGTAAACATATGTAGAAATGTAACAATGAAATCTTTCTCTGCATAACTAAAATAATGGATATAGCCCATCGCCTTGTGCCTGTGGTTATTTTCTTTGTTCTTTATCTTTTGTGTGGGTACTGGGGCTTGAGCTCAGGACCTAGACTCTGTCCCTTAGCTTTTTTCCTCAAAGCTGGCACTCTACCAGTTGAGCCACAGTTCCACTTCCAGCTTTTTAGTGGTTAATTAGAGATAAGCGTCTCACTGAGGAAGTGGTGCTGTGGCTCAAAGTGTTAGAGAGCAAAAGAACTCAGGGACAGAGGCTGGGAATGTGGCTTAGTGGTGGAGTGTTTAGCAGGCATGAAGCTCTGGGTTTGATTCCTCAGTACCACATAAACAGAAAAAGGTTTAAAAAACAGAAAGAACAAAAACAGAAAAAGCTGGAAGTGGCACTGTGGCTTATGTGGTAGAGCGACTTCCTTGAGCTCAGAGAGGCTCAGGGACAGAAACCAGGCCCTGAGTTCAATCTCCAGGACCAGCAAAAAAAAAAAAAAAAAGCTCAGGGGACAATACTCAAGCCCTGAGTTCAAGCCCCACAACTGACAAATGAAAAAAAGGGTCCCACTGACTTTCCTTTCAGGGGTGGCTTCAAATGATGATCCTCACATCTCAGCCTTGTGAGTAAGACTACAGGCAAAAGCTAAGAGCACTCAGCTAGGACTCTTGGTCTTTAAGATGCCTATTTGAGCTGGGTGCTGGTGGCTCACCTATAATTGAGGTTCAAAGCCAAATGGCATAGAAAATTCCTGAGCATATGTCCTGATTTGAAATGTGTGATATATGTGCTAGTCCTTTCCAATACTGAATTTATTTTATTTTTTTTCTCCAGTCCTGGGGCTTGAACTGTCTCTAAGCTTTTGTGCCCAAAGCTAGTGTTCTACCACTTGAGTCCAGTTCCTCTTCCAGCTGCTTGTGGTTAATTGGAGATAAGAATCTCATAGCCATTCCTTTCCAGGCTGGCTTTGAACCTCGATCCTCAATCCTCACATTTCAGCCTCCTGAGTAGCATATGCCACAGGTGGGTGGCTATAACACTGAAATTTTGTGATCCTTTCCCCCTCCCCCCCGCCCCATCTTTCCCAAGGCCTTTGGCCTTTAACTTCACTAGCATCTGTGGTGTATTTCTTCACACCTGCCTTGAGCTTGTCATGAGACTGACCTCCCCCACTGAAGGACTTCAGCTCCCTCTAAACTCCAGTCACAGATGCAATTGTATGTGTGTGTGTGCACATGTGCACGCACATGCATGTCTGGTACTGACGTTTGAAAATTAAGCCTTTGCACTTACTAGGCAAGCCCTCTACCATATGAGCCATCCCCTCAGCTGTTTTGTATGTCCTTTCATTTTTTACCCAGTGGTGTGCATTAATGATAGCACATTGTAAGTGGCTTTTCTGTGGATCTTACCTCCAAAATTAAACACTTTCACAATTGAATCTCATGTTATTACATCATCTAACACATATTAGGACACTGGGGCTCAGAAAACAATAGCCCAAAGTATGACACTTTGGCATGCTGTGTACTTAAAAGATAAAGGAAGGCCTTAGACGCAACCTCAGAAGCAAATTTTCCTTCTAAGCTTGTCTTCCCTTCTGTGTCCCGCACCATTTTCCCTCTACAATTATTTCATAGATAAGAACTCCTTTTCCCCAAGATGGATTATAGGACCTTTTTTTTGCTGTTAGTTCTAGGGCTTAAACTCAGGGCCTGGGCACTGTCCCTGAGATTTATTGCTCAAGGCTAGAACTCTACCACTTGAGCCACAGCTCCACTTCTACCTGTTTTGGTGCTTAATTGGAAATAAGAGTCTCATGGACTTTGTTACCCAAGCTTGCTTTGAACCTCAATCCTCAGATCTCAGCCTCTGAATAGCTAGAATTACAGGTATGATCCACCAGCATCTAGCCTGGATCATAGGAACATGAAGCACTTTCCTCTAAAGTAAGCCAGAAAATCCAGAGAAATCATTCTTTTCC